TTGCTGAGGGCCACAACTCTTCCAGGGGTGTTGCCTTTTCTCACCCACAGCACACCCGCATTTACTTGGGTTATTGCAGAGAATTTAAGACCCAGATTTGTTTGTTTTAGTTTCTTTAAGCTGCTACTAAGGGTTCCCAGATGAACGAACATGAATTTTGAGAGTGGGACGAGAACAGAGCAAGAAAACAAAGGAGAGGTCACGAGTATTGTAACAAATACTGAGGGTCATCAGTTTACAAAAAGAGGTTTACTTCGACTCAGGATTGGTGAGTCTGTTGCTTTTGGTTTGTGGCAAAGCAGCGTGACATATCAACAGGGAAACTTGGAGTAAAGTCAGGGGCTCAAGAGTTTGGCCTTTGAAGGGACAGTTAAGATCCAAATATAGCTTCTCCCAAAATGAATGGGGAAATCTATCCCTTGCAAAGAAGTCCTGAGGCTCGGTTTTAAGAGGTTTATTTAGACACACCACACACACACACACACACACACACACACACGAGCTACTCTGTTTCTCCAAATTTGAACCAATATTCCTTACACTAAAAAGTGCTTCCCCCTCTCTTTCTTCCTCCTGCCCTCTAGCTTAAAGAATAACATTGAGTTCATGTCTGAATCGATTTCAATTCTAGGATAAAGATGCAGGAACAATTATGACTGCCAGTAGAGGTCAAGTGTTCAGAAGTGACATGAAGACAAATTCAGAGAAGACTGGAGAGCTGAAGTTCCCTAACAGTGACAGAAATCTTACAAAGGGGAATGGGTTTTCTGTGGGCTTGTGTTGGGCACTTGAGCCAACGCAATTCTTCCTCAAGGTGAAGGGAGACACACAAAACGGGGGAAGTACAAAACACAGCACAAAAGCAGACTTCTTGACAAGCCCTTCCTCTTGGAGTGAGTACCTTCGTTACCGCAGGCAACCGCCTTGGGATAATTTCTTTCTGTGGCTTCTCTATACATATGACACATGTGGAAGGCTTTGTAAGTGCCTCGCGTCACCATTGTAAGGGGCTTTAATGCACAGTCTGAGTGTCCCCAGATGTGGGTGCTAGTGATGGTTAATCCTGCCTGTCAACCGGATGCATCTGAAATCACCTGAAGCACAGCTTTGGGGAACCCCCAAGAGGGATTTTCTTGACCATGTTATCTGAAGCAGGAATGCCATCCTACATGTGGGAGGCACCTTCTATGATCTTTCTAGATAGAAAGGCATGAATGAAGGAAGCTTTGCTTTTTGCTTTCTGACTTTTGGCCCTCGCTCCCACTGGCAAATTCATCTGTTCCATTGCTGTGGAATTCATTCACCAATACTAACTCTATTTTTTGGGGGGGGTGAGATATTAAAATAAACTGAAGCCCACCGACAATCCAGGAACCTTCCAGGTCTTTAGTGCCAAATTAGGACTTAAGAGGTGTCCAGCTTCATGGAATGAGCAGTTCATTCCTGGTCTTTCCAACTTGAGACAGCCATTGGTGGACTACCCAGACCATACCTTGTAAGTCAGTCTAATAAATTCTTCATATGTATTTATATTATATCACTTCCATCCCCTTAGGAAACCCCGACTAATACAGGACTCAATTTTCTGTTTTGCACTGTAATATACAAAGGTGTTCCTTTGTTCTTCGTGTGTGTTGGGGATCAAGGACCACCCATCAGGAAAGCATCTCTCTGAAGATGCTGTAGTACTAGTCTGAGGAAATAAAGAGCAGATCTGAGGAATTTGGCAGAGGTGTAAAGAGACTGAACAATTTGATGGCTGTAAAGGAAGAAATTACAATATGGCATCAAACAAGTGAGAAAATAAGTAATCAGTGGGAGGAAATGCAGATCATTTTTTGGACGGAGTGATGCGGCCTGAATAACAGAACCTGCAGGCAGTTCTCAGGGTGAGAAATAGAGGCAGAAAAGGAAGAAGACTTCTCTTCACAGTGACATGGAAGCAATGGGGCAGTTGAGTAAAGATAAAAAGAAAAAAGCAGAAACATTGATGAGGGAACTGGCACAATGAGATACACATCAAACAAGAACAGAGGGACAGACCACTCAGGAACACTGGACAGGATCGGTGATTCCTGACCATCACTGAGGTGGATCACATGATTATGGTCGACCTCGTGGGCTGTGTCTTGAGTTGAGAGAGTGGCTAGGATATGTGAATCAGGAAAGACTCAGGGGTAGTTGGCCTGTTGAGTTGTAGCTAATCAATTTTAATTCAGATACTCTTTTTCATTTTCTTTAAATTAGCCCTTAAGGAAGGGAATAAAAGAGGTAGCCTGCTTGCCTGGAAGTAAAAGCAAAGTCTAGGGACCAAAGGGTTAACTGGGGTTGTTATGGGCTGAGTAGACTTGCAGCAATTCAATTGTTGCAAAAGTCATGCAGAGGGCAGAGAACAGAAATAGAGATGGAACGCACAGAGCCCAAGGCAAGTGCAAAAGTCCTTTTAATTTCTGTTCTCTGTAGGTAGGGGTGGGGCTGCAGCACATGCCAGAAGGAGCAGACAGAGTGGAGGACCAGTGAATGAGCCCGCTGGAGATGGGTACAGCTCTGCTGCATCCCACACCAGACTCTTAGGCAGATATTTCTTCCTTCCTGGGCCTCAGTTTTCTCACCAGAGAAATAGACTTGACCACACCCTCCCTAGAGTCTCAGATAGAATGGTATGAATAATTTGGCATGGTGAGCCTATGAACTTAAGCAAACTATGGGATGTATTTTTGAGTGAGAAGGTGACATGTTTGGTTTTGGAACCCTTCTAGTCTCCAGGGAGGACTGTTTATTTCTTTTGAATTAGTCCTCTCTGTGCCCCCAGAACACTGGATTTTATCTCTAGAAATTACCAACTATTCAATAGATACAAATCAACAAATGCATATGCAGAACCTACCATACTCCAGGCACTGTGCTAGGCATTTAGTCTCAAAGATGCCTTGAGTAACACTTTCTTCTTGTTGGAGTTCATCGTCTAGAAAAAAGAACAGTTAATAGAAATTGATGCCATAGTAGAGAAGTCCTAATAGAGTGTGGTAGAAAGATAGGGGAGGTGGGGAGGAGGAGCCTGAGGCAGAGCCCCGGGGCACATCTGCTCCAGATCAGTAAGAGATGTTCACAAGAAGCGGTAAGAGAAGACTTCTGTGGCAGAGCCTGAGCTTGTCGAAGCAGGTGGGGTGCTTCGTGAGGTCAGAAACAGAGAGATAGCAACTGTGGGTGAAGCCTGAGTTGAGGGAAAGATAAGGGTGACATATGATGTTGTTGGATGTCAAACCCATTAGAGGAATTTGGGACACGGGAAAGCACTGGGGTTTGAACACATCATAGCCTTCCTGGGATAAATTGCACTTAGTCACGATGACTTGTCCTTTCCTATATTGTTAAAAATGGGCTTGCTAATTTGGTAATGGTTTTGTGGGTTTCTTTACGGTAATGTTATGGTTTGTTTGGGCTGTTAAGATAGCGCTGGCCCCACGGAATAAGTTGGAAATGTCCTTCCCAGGTATTAGTTTTGCACTATTGCTTATAACAGATTATCACAAATTTAGTGGCTTCAAAGAATGAAAACACGCTAGATGTGGTGGTGTGTGTCTATAAGCTACTGGAGAGGCTGAAGGAGGACAACTAGTTTTGGGCCAGCCTGGGCTATACCCTGAGTTCGGCCTAGACTGTAGTGAGCTTGAGTTCTTCAAACCCCAACAGACCTAACAGAGAACTCTCAACAGACAAATCTCAAACGACTAAAAGACACTTAAGGAAATGCTCAACATCCTTAGCCATAACTTCCAGGGACCACAACATGGGCATCCAGAAGAGACTATTATTCTGCCTGCTATAGTAATTTTCAATTTTCGAAAGTGTTTGTATTGTATAGAACCGATAGCATTAGCCAGAGAAGTTACTGGGCCTGGAGTTTTCTTTCTGGAAAGTTTTGTTTCAAATGTGATTTCTTCAATATTTGTAGGATTAAAAAGAAAACTTGAATTTGAGACAGGGTCTTGTTAAATTGTCCAAGCTATCCTTGAGTTTGCTCCTTCTTCCCCAGCCTCTTGATTAGCTGGAATTATAGGTATGAACCATCATACCCAGTTGTATTGTAAAAACTGGTTCATGGCTCTCTTTTCCAAGCTCATGATTTCGGTTACCCACTTTACCAGGCGGGAAAATAATTATCATAGGAGTATCATGGTCCTTGTCTCATGATTTTGCCATCCATACTATTTCCAGGTCTGTCTCTGTTGATGGATGTTTCCCCTGTGGCCCCTGTGGATGGTCGTTTGCAGTTTGTATGTCTGACAACTTTTCACCGAGTGTCCAACACATTATATTTCAGGTTCTTGGGTGGGTGCTGAAGCTTTGTGCTCCTTTAATGCCCTTGTGGTATGTTCTAAGCAGTTGTTAGGGATCGAATAGTACCATGATCCTTTTGAGGCTTGCTTTCGGATTTGGTTGAGACCAGTCAACATTCAACATAGGGCTAACTTGGCAATGTTCTCTTGAATAGTGTTCCTTATAGCCCGTGCTTTGTAGGGTTCTCTGCTCTGTTTGAAATATAAATAAGTCCCAGTCCTGGGATAGCTTCAGGAATTTTTTTTTTCCATTTGGGCCTTTCTCCTGCCTCAGGTGGTTTTCTCATACACAAGTGCTAATCAGCACAGGCGGCCCTCTGTATCCTTCCATTCCATGTCTACAGATTTATTTATCCTTGTACAGAGCATATTGTTAAAAAGTTGTATTTATATTAAATTGTGTAGTGATCTTTTGTTTCCCTCTCACTGCTCTTTAAACAATTCAATGTAACAGTGATTCACACAGCAAATGGGTTGTAATATGTGTAAGTGGCCTAGTAATGAGCTAAGCTTATCAGAGCATTGTGTAGGCTACACTCACGTGAACTATGCTATTTTACATGTCGGACTCAAGCATTCTTAGATGTTAATGTCTGTGGGGTTTCCTGGAACCAATTCACCATGGAGGCCATGGAGCAACTGTATTTAGTCACTTATCCAGGCGAAGTCCTTTGTCGATCTCCACAGGTTTCTCACTGAGCAGGTAAATTGTGTTAGTCGGTCACCTATCACTATAATGAAAAAGCTTGAGATAAACCACTTACGATGAGGGAGGATTTGCTTTCGCTCAGAGTTTTAGAAGTTAAGGCCACAGTCTTTTGGTTCCATCGCTTTTGGGCCTGGAGCAAGGCAGAACACCATGGCGGGGAGAGTGTAGCCACTTAGCTCATGGTGGCCAGAGAGTGGAGGGAAAGGGAGCAAGAGATTGAGTGAAGCCCCGATGACCCCTTTGTAAATATAGGCCTTTGAGGAACATTCTAGACACAAACTCTAAACCATCTGTTCTCTTTGACAGCTTGCTCAATGAAATCTCGCTGCTTTGGGCTTCTTAAACACAGGACTCCACCTCTTCAGTTCAGGTAAATCCTTTTACGCAGGAGATCTCCAATCAACTTTCCAGGCCTGGACATAAGACGTATTTAGTGCTCACTTATTTTATTCCTCCTTTCTTTTTTAAAAATTGTATAATGCTTGAAAAAATCTTTTTCAATAGACTGTGTTCAGTTTTGATGTTTCATAAGGGTGGTGATTTGGGTCATCTTTAGTCCACCTTGTTGGAAGCAGAAGCTGATATAAAACATCTTAGGGCGAGATTACTAAAGGACCTCATTTAAAGAGAGTATCAAATTCAAAAGAACAAGGCCGTGGCTGTAAGAAATGAAACTGTGGAGGCCTGGAGTAGGTGGGGAACATTAAGATATTTTCAACGTGCCTAAACTGTGCACACTCAGCTCTGCCTGCCTCATGCCAGAAGTGCATACTGGGCCCTGCTGAAAGCTTGTGTAGAGCCGGGCAGGAGAGTGTTGGCTCCGCTGGGAGCTGCAGCACGACCTTACTCAGAGTTGTAGGGAACCAAGTGCTCATGGACCCCCTGATCATCGTGTGTTTGCCTGGTTTCTGTGAAGACCACTTCTGCCCATGTTTCCAGGGAAACAGACCCAAGCTCAGGAGGCCTCTCCTCACCTAAACATTAACCCGTGACTCAGACAAGAAGCCATTTTGCCAGGACTCACAAATGCCTCTTAGAATGACGCTTCATTCTTCAGCAAGATGGCTTTCTTTCCTCGGGATGATTCAGATTTTTCTGGCATGGAGAGACTCTGGGAGCTGGGGAATAAGGACCAGGAATCTTCCTGTGCTGCAGAGGGATGGAGAGTCCAATGGGCCGAGTGTCCCCAGTGACTGCCCTCAGAGGGAAAAGATGGGAATGATTATCACGAGGAATCTGGCCAAATGACCTAGAAGATCGTACTCTATTTCTCCTTGGGCCTCAGGCCACTCCTTTGTGGTCTCTTTTTTCAGAGGCAGTCTGGAGTAGCTGACTGGAAGATGTAGAAAGGGGGTGTCCGGCTGCACCTGCCAAGCAAGCTCTCGCATCCCCGAGTGACCGTGAAGGTCTTTGTGTCATGGCAAACTGTAATTGCTTCTCTAACAATGACAGATTGTCACAGCCATGACAGACTCCAGGTGTCATCTCTGTGAACATGACACGAAATGATATGGGCACAGATGTCCCCAATACTTCAGCCCAATTGACTTTAATGCCACATATAGGTCAGGGGACACAATAGGCATACAGTCCGTACTCTCTGAATGCATAAGTTTCATATTGCCGTGGCCTTGGAGAGGACCACATGCTCAGAGGCTGTACTGGCTGCGTGTGCCAACAACGTACTGTATAAAATTGACAATACTTCACGTGCCACAGTGAGTTCTCCAATCTGGGGAGACTTATCCTATAAAGAATGAAGTTGTAACATTTTCAATTATCCCAGCTCCCAAGTTCTAGGGATAGGGGTGTTCTTAGTTCCAGCTTTGTCTTTCACAGTAACCCTCCGAAGCAATATTTGTTTTCCTATTTATGGGGTGTTCCCTGCACTCGTAAATCTCACTTCCCCAAGGGAAAAAAATCAGATTCTTTGCATTTTCACCTCTGGAAATATCTGTAGATTCAAGTTCTACCAATTACATTCATTGATGGGAGAGTTTGGTGGGGGAAAAAGGCAAGGGAGGAAATGAGGACGGAGACTATTTTCTGATCAATCAGTGTGACTTTTCTGATCAATCAACATGATTTTCTGATCAGTCAGCATGACTGTGAGCATTGAAGGCAGAATTTTAGGCTTCCAGAGCCCAACATTAGTGGCCCAGTGTGGTCCAAGTGTCATCCCTGGCCATGATGCTTCCAAGCCTGGCCTTCTGGGTGATTTTATCAGCCAATCATATATTTTAATAATTTCTTTTCTTCCTTGACTAAAGTAGCCAGAACATTCTGCTGTGTGGAACTGAGGCTCTGACAGATACAGTTCTCAACTGCTTCCTTTGGCCATTGGCTGCAAATCAAGCTAATTTCTACTCTGGCCGAAAGTAAGAGCTCTGAGGAGTAGCTGGGTCAGAATGAGCGAGCAGATCCCAAACCTGCAGGTAGGAGTGACTGGGGATCTCACTCCTAAAAATCCCCTCTGCAGTTTCTGAATGCTCTAGCCTCTGGAAGTCTGTCCTAGTAGCTTATTGCTTGGCTGTGTCACCTCTCTTTTCTTCCTCCTTAAGGACACATGTATGCTGAGGCCAGAGATGTGTGATCTTCCAAGATCTTTCTTTCTCTTATCTCACAGTCACCAACTTGTAGAATTTTACATCACCGCTATTGTGTAAATGCTTTGCCTTTTCTTCTTCCCCATAGCTGCTTTCCTGGTATTGTATTTGTCCTGCCCTCAGCCCCAATAGATTTTGGACCATTTCCCAGGATACCGAATTTCATCATGTCCTTACCTTATTGTAACTGTTTGAATAAGAATGGTCCATGTATTTGAATACTTGGCCCTTGTGTACTTAAATCTTTGGTCCCCTGTTGGTGAAACTGTTTGGGAAGGGTTAGGGTGTGCAGTCTTGTTGGAGGAGGTGTGTCATTGAGGGTGGATTTCAAGGTTTCAAAAGCCCATGCCATTATCAGTTACCTCTCTCTCTCTCTCTCTCTCTCCCCCTCCCTCCCTCCCTCACTCCCTCCCTCCCTCTCGCTCCCTCCTTCTCCCTCCCCCTCCCCCCTCTCTTTTGCGATGTAAGCTCTCAGCTACTGCTCCAGCACCATGCCTGCCTGCATACTGCCATGCTCCCTGCTATGATGGCCGTGGACTTACTCTCTCAAACTGTAAGCCTCCATAAACTCTTCTACAAGCTGTTTTGGTTTTAGTGTCTTATTACAACAATAGAAGAGTAACTAAGACACCCCTCTGGGAGGAAATCCTTCCGCAGAAAAATGAATGCCCAAGCTGCATTGTGGTCTTGACACCATGAATGTTTTCAACTAATCTCCTACTCGTCCTCATTTCCTGTGTCCCGCCACCCACCAGCCTCCAAACACTGGGCTCGCATCAGTGCCTCATAGACTGCATGACTGTCTCTTCTTGAAAGGTCCTGTATGACATCATGCATTTGACACACACCTACTCACTCTTCAAGATTTCATGAGAATACCACCAACTCTGGGGAAATGCTCTTTCATTTCCAGCAAAGTGTGGCACTTCGTGTTGTGTTTCCAAAGTGCCTTCCTATAGCACTGTACTTCCGTGATGCTGTGATTGTTGTTTACATATTTATCTTCTCAGCGGAGACAGAACATGTGAGACACAGGGCCAGAGTCCTCTTCACCTTTGTGTGCCTGACATTTGGGGTTTCTACGGGTGTTTATAAAATTAATCAGCAACAAAACCAACAGCAAGAGAGAACCATGAAAGCATTGGTAACTTTCATTTCACATTGTTAACTGTTATTAAAGATTTAGATTTATTATGTACAGAGATGTTTTGTCTGCATGTATGTATGTACACCACATGAATGCCTGATACCCAAGGAGGCCAGAAGAGGGCATCTGATCCCTGAGAAGTGGCATTACAGGCATTTAATAGCTGTCATGTTTGTGGTGAGAACCGAACCCAGGCAAGTGTTCTTAACCTCAGAACCATTTCTGTTGCCTCTAGAAACAATTGTTAAAGTCACATGATTGTCACATTATTAGCCACAGCCGTCTCTTCTCTCCTGGGCCACAAGGATTTCTTCCTGCACGGGAAGCTAGAGGCAGACCTGGAGAAGGAAAGCAGACACCTGCCGCTTTACACACACCTAAGTATCTGGAAGAGCAATTAATACGGAGCTCACTATAGTTAGGGAGTAACTAATGGCTCAGTGTGGGCATCTAGCACAACGATGCTTTCCCCCTTCTCCAATGCAAGCAATGGTCATTAAGTTGAGGATGTTCAAAATGGCTGGAAACTGGGAGGGAGGCATTTCAGACACCACGTGCGCTTAAAAGGCACTGCTGCTTGTGGGTGGCCTTCATTTCGGTCACTAACTAGGATGGCAGAGGCAAGCATTTGCCAACCCCTGCCAGCCAAGGAGAGGCAGGGGACTGAAGGCAGGCCTACTCTAATGCACGCACACAAATGTCTTGGAGGAAAGGAAATTACACTTGGAGAGCAAACAGATTTAGAAGGAAGCAGGTAATCATTCACATGGCAGAAAATACCCTTCGCCATACAAAAGGAGCCCCCACAGGGCACTTTTAAATGGGAAATGCCTTGGGAGCACTTAAAATACCATCGAGTTGATAAGGAATCAATTAAGAACTAATTCTTTCAGAAACCAATCTATTGCACAATTGGGGGCACCTTCAAGCAGCAGCTCCCTCCTTTGTTTTGGTCTCAACATTTTTGTTGTTAGAAACGTCTACAGAGTAATAACGTTCAAAGGCAGGTGCATAGTTAGGGTCAGGAGATAAGGGTTTGAACTGGTTTTGGACCACGCTATCTGAGCCCAGGCAAACATCAGCCTGTGTTCATAGATGGAACTGGGGCCAGCAATCTTAAGGGTAAGAAGCCAATGTTGGGATAAGTGTGCAGTGATCTGTAACACGGGTGATGATTCACGGGTGTGCTCTTTTTCTAGGACCGCCATAACAAATGACCACAGGTGGAATGGCTTAAGCAGCAGAAATGCTTCTTATATTTCTGGAGAGTAGACATCTGTGTTAGCCTATCCATGCCTCTCTTCTAATTTCTGGTAGTTTGTTGGCAATCCTTGGTGTTCTCTGGCTTCCGCTGGGCCACCGCAGTCTCTGACGGCATCACCATATGCTATTTTCTTTGTGTGTATTATCGGCACAACTCTGTCTTAACTGATGGCATTTGCAGTGACCCTGTTTCCAAGGAGGGCCACATTCTGAACTACTAGGGTTAGAACTTTGGCATCCAAGTTTGGAAGCAGACACAGCTCAAACTAGCAACAGTCTGGTCTAAAGTCCCTGAAATGAGTTATCGCTGCGGTGAGACATTTTGTTTTTCTTGGTTGAGATATTGTTAAATGAAATGTGCTTTTATAGAGACAATAAGTCACAAAGAGAAGCCCTTGTTAGTAGAAACTAAGGCAAAGAAGAAGCTTTAATAGAAGAAAACCTGGGTAGCAGCTTGGACAGTAGCTCCATTGATTTTTCTTTTAACCTCACTATCTTTCTGTATTCCTCCCACTTTAAGGGCCAGAGAGTACCACACTCAGCTGGTTACATCCTCTGTTGTGTGACCCTGTTCCTGTGGAGATGTAAACAAACATCTACTCACCCCAGATAGGGAACCAAGGACAGACCAAAGTCAGGGTACCACCGAAGTCCAACTTGGTGTTGTACTGATCCGGTGAATTTTATTGGGGTTATTGAAAAAATATGGGTGAGCGGTTACTTATAAGAGCAAAATGACTTGGACAGCTCCATCACCAAAAGTTTACCCCCACGTATGTGACAGCCAATGAAAGCTGGAAACCTAGAATGCATGCATAATGGGTATGAGACTGTCCCTTTCTGGAACCTCAACTTATCTGAGCTCCTTCTAGGTAATCTGGCAGGTCTTGTCTCCTTCCAGGTAGCCTGGCTGGTCTGACCATCTTTTAGGTGGGTCAGCTTGTCTGGAAGCCTTGTAGGCAGTTCATTTTGTTTGGGATGGTCTCTCAGCGGTTTTTACTGCTTATATATGCTTGGGGAGGTAGGGGCCTAATAAACCTGCCCAGTTCCAGGGGTTTCCTGAAGTCTGTGAGAGGTTCACTCCCTCGGCCTAATGAGCTTCCCTCCAAGATGGAGGGCTCTGTCTCAGGAAATCGCTACACAGCATCTTTACCATGTGGAGGAGGACAAGGAGGCCGGGTGCTCATTACCTCACAATTCCTTCTTTGCAGGGAGATTTCTCATCTCCTGCGGAAACATGCTTCAATCAGAGGGAGTTAGTGCTCTGCCTCCCAGCGCCCTCCCAAAACACATAAGAGCAACGAATCGGTCACTTCTTTCCAAGTGTGGTTACCAATAAACTCCAAAAAACAAAACAACAAAAAAACCAACCCCCTCAAAAAACCCTAACTGGTAACTGGTGTTGCTGTCCTGAAGATTCTCTTACTGTTGGTTAGCTGGAGGTCTGAAGGTCAGAGACTAGAAGAAATGACTTTGAGGGTATAGCTGTTGGCACTTTGGTCCCTATATGATGACCCTAGGATGCTGCAGCAGGATGGCTGTAGTAACCGCCCTGTTTGTTCTCTCTCTCCATACCCATGCATTTGATAATGGCCTCCCACACTTCTTCTTGGCATAGCCATAGAACCTGTTTTGACCAAATAACTTGACGGCAGGCAGCTTTGTTCTCTTGCTCTTCTTGCATCCTCTGCCATGGCTACCAAGCTATCAAGCTCAGCTGTCTACTGGAGGAAGAGACACTCCAACTGGAGACAACTGGCTCAGTCATGCTTACTTCATCACCCCGCTCAACCCTCAGCTGCTCAGATATCTGGGTGAGCCCAGCTGATATTAGCAGAGCATAGGTTAAGGGCAGAATGACCCAGCTGCACCCAGCAAACACTGTAGAGTATCAAACTTGTGCACTGAAATATGTTGTTGTTGTTTTTTTTGAAGGGTTTGGTATTTATGCAGGGTTGTCTCACTGTAAGCTACTCGGTTTGGGGACAGCTTGTTATATAACAAAAACTTTCCCATGAGAGTATTTCCCCAGATTTTTTTTCTAGTACTGGTGAAAGCCCGCGTGTAAGGTGTCTTAACGTCAGTTTTCTAAACAGCAAGGCGACACTGGGAGAACTTCACTAGGACAAGGCATGCATCACTCGTCTTGCCTTTCTGCCTCTGGAAAGAACAGGATTTGGAATTTATTAAAAGCAACAGTGATAATATCTAAAATTCCCAGTGTCTTCTCACAATAAGGATGCATTTGTCTCCCATGTTGTAGTTTGTGTGTGTGTGTTTTTTAATCTTGCACATCTGTGGTCAGCTGCAAAGAAGGCTGAGGGCTGTCTAAACTTAGCTGGCTCAGCAGAGATGGCTCATTCCAATTCCATCTTTCAGAAAATTCATCTTTCAGAAGATTCGTTTGAACTTGATCGTGTTTACATATATCCATGAAGAGATCCAGGGATCATGATGGCTAACTTCATGCTGTCAACTCGATTAGACCACAGGATGTCCAAGAATCTCATTAAATATTAGTTCTGTGAGAGTGTGTCTTAAAGAGACCAGCAAAAAATAAAAAAATGTTGTGTTGAGGAAGAGGTTTAGCATCCCCAGTGTGGGAGGATCTTATCTAGTCTGCTAAGGGCTAAAGTAAAAGAAAAGTATGGAGGAAGAGAAGATTCTCTGGTTTCACATCTGAAAGTGTGGCCAGGAGCATCAATCTTCTCACGGTTCTCTGGCCTTTGTACCACCAGCTTTGCTGAATCCCACCTCACAGGACTCCTCAGTTTTTGTAACTCTGTGAGCCAAGATTGCGTAACCAACCTACTCACACGTGTGCCTATATGTTTTTCCAGTTTATGGATGTGTGCATTCACCAATATGTATATTTACAGGTGTGTATATCCATCCTATTCCATGTCTCTCTGGAACCCTAGTGCAGGGGTCCAGGCTCCTTCCTCCAAGTCTTCCAACACATGCCCTGCATTCATCCGGCAGACACAGAAAGAAAACAAGTAGGGGCAATCCGGCGGGACTTGTTTCAGGCACCAGTCGAGGGTGGCATTAATCACTTTCTCTCCATCCCACTGGCGGCAGTTAGTCTAGATGCAATAGAGT